GCAATTAAATATGACTTTTATAAAATTTATACCCATGCTTTTGAATATTGATATATTTTCTTTAATTACTTTAATTTAAATACATATAACTAGATATATTTTATTGATTATAGATCATTCAAAATACAAAAGCAATAATCATATAGCAAAATCAATTGTATACTTAATAGGAAAGACAACTTTTAACTTTCATAAGAAAATATAAATAAATTTCGCTCTGGACTCAGAAAAGGAAAACATTTCTTAAACATGATATAACCTAGATGAAAAATCAAGTTACTCTACTAAGATTAAGAAGTTATAGGCACAAAAAGGCAGCAAGAAAATGAAATAATAACCTTAAGTCTTAAAAAGAATCTGTAATCAAAGTCCTATAGTCACACAAAAAAAGATCTTGCAAGTAGCCAAATAAAACAATGAGCAGAGACATAAGCCCTACTCAACTGATAGAAGTTATTAAGTATATTAAAAGTTATTCAACGTATTTTATAATCAAGAAGTGCAAATTATGACAATTAAGTTCTTATTTTATACAAGTAATTTGGCAAAATGTGACAGGTCCACATGTTTGTAAAGACTAAAGCCAATATAAACATTTGCATACTAGATGAGTGTATATATATTTTATACTTTAGTAGTCCTCTCCCTTCAGTATATGCCTTAGCAAATGTCTTTACTAAGTAGTTAGGAACATGCAAGAATCTTTATAGAATTTAAATAAAAATTCAAACAATTATAAATGGATGCTTATACTAATTACAGCAAGTCATACAGTCTAAAAAAATAAAAAAACTAATAGTCTCCAACAATATATGCAACAAAGATAAAGTAAAATTCTGTTAATGGAAGTCAGGGTATATGAAAGAAAGTACATCTAATGTTATTCCATTTGCAAGTGTCTAAATAATAATTTAAGTCATATAGGGATGTACAACTTATAAACAGTGGTAGAAAAGTAAAACATTTTTTAAAGTTCACCTGCTTATACATAATCAATTATAGAGGAAAATGAACAAGCAGGAAGTAAATATTGAACAGCTTAGTAAGGCACTGCTCTCCCAAAATACAATCTGGAATCTTTGCAACTTTTCAGAAAAATAGTCACAAAAGGTGGTCCCTGAAAAAAAAAAATCACCTGAGACCATCCCATGGGTGTGAAGTTAAGATTTACTTTATATCTTTGATTTTTAAGACATTATGTTTATGTTTTCTTTGGTATCTCAAGTAACTCAATATGATTTGTTCACATAAATCATCATGAATAAATACTGTGTTCTGAATCTCTTTAAGAAGCAGCAGAGGGTGTGGATCTGGGTTGGAGGGAAGAGGGGAGTAAAAGGGAGGAGGCAGGTGGATTGTAATCAGGATATATTATATGAGGAAAAATCTATTTTCAATAAAAGAAAAAAGAAGCAAATGATGAATTTGATTTTTCTCATGTTACCTTGGTCAGCATATCTAATGAATCATTGTACATTCTTCTTATTAAAAATTAAGCCTCAAAATATCTTCTGCATTCCTTAAAAATTTATTTGAACCTGGTCCGAAGTCACTCCCTAGCCTCACACTGGAAATTTTATTCAAATCCCTACAAAGAAAGTGATGGTTTTGATATATGTCAAGAAGTGTTTTTAAAAAAAATTGTGAAATAAAATATTTAAATGAAATAAAACAGAGACTTTTTTTGAAGGAATGGGGTTATTCTGTTTTAAGGATTCATGAGTTTGAAATCCATAAAGCAGCCTGGCAGGACTTGACAGGAATTAACACTGTTGTCTTGAGGCATAATTCCTTCTAGAAAATTGAATTTTTGCCCTTTAGACCTCTAACAGATTGAATTAGGTCTGCTCATATTATGGGGAGCAATCTCCTTTACTTAAAATCAACTGATCAGAGATGTTAACCATGTCTTCAAAATATCTTCATGGCAATGCTAGATTAGTGCTAGATTAAATCATAGGGTAGGATGTCCTTTTCAAATGGACAGATAGCAGCCTTCACTGCAGGACTTACAACCACCTACATCTCATCTTATTAGCCAGAATCCAGACATAGCCTAAAATGAAAAAAGGAAGAAAGGAGAGAGAAGAAAAGGAGGAAAGGGAGGAAAGGAAGGGACAAGAAGATGGGGAAGGGAGGCAGACTGATCTCAATAACCCATGAATCTTGATATTGTACTGATATATATATTTTCCCCTAAAGGCCTGTACACACTAGCATGTGCTGTATCACTGAAGCTATATTCCCAGCCTTCAATGTTTTAAGCAATATAGATTGATTACCAATTTTTCTAACAGTACAAATTATGGCTGAAGAAATGGTTCGGTGAGTACAGCACTTCCTGTGAAAAAAGGAAAATAGTTTAGACCACCCAGCCCTCAGGTGAAAAACTAGGTGTGGCTGGGAATTTAACCCCAGCACTATGAGGTTATTAAAAAACATCCCAAGGGCTTGTGGGCCATGCAGTATAGCTGAAAAACTAGCAGGTTCCAGGTTTAGTGGGAGATCCTGTCTGTCTCAAGGGAATAACACAGAGAGTGATGGAGTAGGACACCTGAGTCCTCTTTTGATATATGTTTTATATATTATGCATCTATCATGGTATATATATATATATATATATATATATATTCATATATGTGTTATCATAAATGGACCACCAAAAAAGTATAAGATGATAGATCTCTGTCTCTTAGCAGCTATCCTTAGTGTATTTTTGATCAAAATTATTGAAAATTTTCATTCCTATAAACAAGAAAAACTCAAGTGCATCCCAGATTCTAGAGACCATTGTTGCTGCCCCTGATGAGTGCATTAGTCTCTACTGATGCATCTTCTTCTCCAGTAGTACTCAAACTGAGGTGGTGGGCTCAGGTAGGAGGAATTAAGCTGTCTGAGCATAATTGAAGACAGTTTGACTCCAACATGATGAAATTTAAAGCCAAATAACACGAACACATTTCTGGAAGAGAATGACAGCCTCTAAGAACTTAACATCTCCATTCTTCCCAAATTTGTCCTTACCTCAAACCAAATGAAAAAGTTCCCTGCAATTGGCTAAAGTACTGTATTCTGTTTCTAATTTTATGATATCTTAATTATTCCAGAGACTGGACTCAAGTATCTCTCAGCATTTTCGTCTCATCTAATCTTTCTCCCAGGGACATCACCCTTGTTAGCACACCACCTTGCTTAATAGCTTTCACTTCAGTAAATCTGGTGGACAAAATATATTTTTAAAAATAGGTTCCCTTACTAAATTTGGATCAGACAGCCACTTTCTTGGCAAAATATACAGTCAGCAGTTTGATAATTATAGAGATTTTACTACCTCGAACCTCATCTATTGAGAGCTTAAGCCAAGTAGCTTCTGAGCTAAAAATTGTACAAATGTAGGGCATACAAGTGAGGCCAAATCTATAATGGTCTCAGCTGATCTGGCCAAGTCCTTGGTACAAGCATCCTAATAAAAAGAGAGGTCACTGTGATCTGTCATATCTATGTGCTTCTGGAAATAACAGGACCTCTGTGACCTGTTATGACCCTCAAAAAGACAAACTGGTACAACTATCACTTATACAGGTTTTAAGATCATTAGAATATGCTTCTCTTTTGGTTTCCCCAGCCCCAACATCATCTTATCCCTGATTTCTGACACAGTTATTTATGTATTTAGATCTACATTCAATGCTTTATTATACACTAAACTTAGACTTATGGATACTTTTTGCACTGGCTTAACAAAATCAACAAAATAGTTGAACATTCTTCAAGTTAAAAAGAAGTACCCTCCTGCACCTTGTAAATTCTTAGTTACAAACTTAGAGGCACTTGCTTTCCAAGGACCTGCTCTTACAAATATGTTGGTGATGTCCTATTATATTCTCTGAGCATCTTATAAAATTGACTACCTTCACTTGAGAATAGCTTTACTATAAATGAATCTCAAAGCATCTAAGAATAAACTCCAACTTTATCAGACTTAAGTGCATTGTGTCGGCTTCAATAGCAGACAAAATGGAAAGCCTCATTCCCCTCATAGCCTAGAAGCTATTCATGACTTCACCTAACTAATTACTAAATGGATTTCTTGGTCTCCTAGGATAATGTAAATATTGGATTACTAACTTTTTTTATGTAATGACTGCAGACTCACCTGTGTCTTTTTCTTGAGTAGACACTAGATTGCTGTATATAACTGAAAGGCCTTTAAAAGCCTCTTGTCTGGGCTTCTCAATCACTCTAAGCATTTCTATCCATTTAGATATGAAAGATTGCATTTAAAATGTTGGCTCCAAAGACATCATTGGTTATGTATTTTCTTTGTCCCCAGAGAAAAATCTTGCCCTCTTTATTCATATACAGTGACTGCACAACAGTTACCTAAGGTCTCCCCTGACTTGATTTAAAAATAACTCTTTGATCTCAGTATTCTTCCAGCTACTCATACTTCACTCCTGACTAAAAATACAATTTTTCTCCTGCAGTGACCTCCTACTTAGAAACCTAAGAAGGGGGCCATTAACCCAGACATGTGATCTATTCTACTCAGTCATGCTCAATTCCATCCCTAGCCAGAAGTCAAATGTGCACAGTTGCTGAAAATGTACCCTTCCTTAGGCCTTCTGGGCAGTGGGAAATGGAAGAAAATGTGTTTGGACAGTGGATAGGCTTTGGGGTGGTTCATGATTTTTCTATGCCTTGAAGATAAGTAATTTTTAAAGGCACATGGTATTCTGTATATGACAGTCACATGCAGCCCCTCTTCTCTATAGCTCACAGTGAACTAAATTCTAGTTATTCATCAACTCACCCTTCTCTCCATTCCAATCTTTCACATTCAAATGAAGCTTAATCACTTCCAAGTTTACTTTATACACTCAAGATTACCATCAACAAATAACTCGATGTGATTTTTTTTTGGAAAAAAAATTTTATTCAAGGTTTAAGTAAGATCAAAACCTACAAGATTCTGTTTGCAGCTGATGAGTGCAAAGAGAAATGCTAACCATCATTATCACCTGAGAGCTAGTGGAAGAGCTCTAGGGTCAGACTACCCAGTGACATACCAATTACTTTGTGTAGCTTAAAAATCTTGCAGCAAAAAGTATTCTAAATGAAACATTGGACTGTAAAGTTTGAGCAGGAACTGGTAGGTGGCTGGGCGAGCAGCTGGTTACCCTGTACAAGGACCTAGCATCCAGCTAGTTCCTATTTTGACTTTTTCAGGTTAAACAACTTGAACTCATAACCTCTAAGCAGAAATAGTGTACCCATGGTCTGAAAACATAAGCAGCCCCACTTGTCCAGCAGAAGCTGGAGTGGACTCCTGGGGAAGCAGTGAAGACTGTCCCACTGTGCCGCGATCTACATCTGCTGCGTGGAGTTCCCGTTCCAAGTGTTGTTCTCGTCTTCGCCATCATCTGGAGTCCTCAGTCTGTAGACCTTCCCTTCCTCTTTAAAGTCCTCCCCACGTCTCTCCAGCACTCTTTTCCGGACTGCTTCCCTTTTCTCTGACTTGATGGATGACACAGGGTTGGAAGGCTCTGTGGGTGTGGCTCTTGCTGAAGTCTGTGCAGGAGGATTACGAAATAAAAAATTGCTAATTAGTCTCCATATGGCCAGGAATGGATAAAGCACCATCCCCAGTAATGTCCAAATGTCTCTACTGGAAGAGTGGACAATGGATGTGGCTGGGATTTTTTTTTTTTTTTTTAATGAACAAAAATGACAAGAATCCCTGTGGAACCCACAACCTTGAACTTTGGTATACTGGAAATGTCTGTAAAATTTCTCTTCAAGTCCACCACAGGAGACTTCATGAGGGACTATTAGGCACTCATATTGCAATAAAACACCATCAGCCATAATCCTGTGCAACCATGTAACTAAACAGACTATGTGTGTGTGATGGGCAACAAAATAAATCTTTAGAAATTTTGAGGAACTGAAATTAATCATTAGTTTCAATGCCTCTGAAATAAATAGCAAATCGAAAACTTAGAACATCTACATAAGCATTAACTGATAGATCAAAGAAGAAACCATGACTGAAAGTAAAACAGATTTTTTAATACCCCAAATTTTGAGATGTGACTAAAACTTGGATTTTAAGAAAAAATATAATTTAAGCCAAAGCTTTGAAATTTTAGATCAAATAGATAATTTTACAAAGATAAAAGTTGCCATCTTGTTTCAAGAAGAAAGAAAGTGAAAGGTATTTCTACTGCCCTTAGGAAACCTCTTTCTAACCCTGTTCTGTCAAACATTTAAGGACAAGTAATTTCTGTCCTACAAAAGCTCCCCCCAGAGACTGAAATATGATGAAATGTGGCACACTTCACTATATGAGCCTTGCTTCATTTTTATAATGAACCTGTAAGCACAATGCTGAAAAAAATTTCAATTCATTTTAACTCACAAATGTATACATGTACACAATCGCTAAGGAAAAATCTGTCAAAAGTAGCACAAAATGGCAAAAAGATAGTACAGCAGAACCAATTTCACTCTTCACAGAAATCCAAGGTTAAGGTAGCATTAGAAAACAGCTTTTGTCATTTGCCACACCAGTTCATTAAAAATTAGGTCATGCCAAGAGTGACTGGATGCAGGAAAAAATAAAAGACAAGACTCTACATTCATTAATTATATCATCTAAAAGTCTTTTTGTATAGCAATATATGAATGCAAGTTCATTGATAAAAATGTATCACCTTCACAGAATGCTGAGTGTAAGGCAAGTGATATATATTACACTATGTCCCAGCTAAATTATGTGCTAAAGCCTTATTCACAATGAACTGGTAATTCAAAGATCAAGCCTTTGGGGGAAAATTCATTACATGAGGATATGTGAGATCCTCAAGATGGGATTAGTGTCTCTACAGGAAAAGGCCAAGTGTCCCCTCCCCTTCTCATTCTTTCTCTCTGCCTTGTGAGGATACAATGAGAAGTTGCTATTTGATAGTCAAGCCTGACCAATCACCAAATTTTCTACCACCTCAGCCTCTAAATCAGCCATCACCTGGACCATAGACATCTCAGCCTCCAAAGCTCTAGGGAATAACAGTATTACTGCACTGTCTCATGTCTAAGCCACATAGCTTATGGTATTTTGTTACAGTGACCTGACATGACTAAGACAAGGCTAAGAGTATGGTTAGGAGATATAATATATATATATATATATATATATATATATATATATATTTTTTTTTTTTTTTCTTAAAGCTGCTATAAAAATAAAATCAATGTACAAAAAGACCTAGCAAACTGGAAAGGAAGAGTAATTTCCTTAACCTATAAAAGATATTTTTGAGCGACTGGCAAGATAACCCAGCAGGTTAAAAACCCCAGAAGCTGCATGGTAAATAAAGAAAACCAACTTCAATGGATAACCATTGAATACACACTGCGGCATGTGCTATCCACCTCCAAACACACAAAATAAATAAATGAAAATTTTATTTAATATAAGACATCTATAGAAATAAATGTTTCTCATAACTAATGACAAAATATTGGCATTCTTTTTCAAGGTCATACCCAACATTATTCTAACATTCCTAGACAATTAGTAAGAAAATAAAAATAAATAAAATGTATCCAAGTTGAAATTGGAAAAACTTTTATTATTCACAGATGATAAGATTTTTGTGTGAAGAAATGTTTAATACTGACTATTTTTAGATATGCATTTTATAAGGTTGATGGATTCTAAACTAATATAAAACAATCAATAGTATTTGCATTTCAACAGCAAACAATAATTCTACTATAATTTAAAAGAACATAAATATAAGATGTCTAAATAAAAAGATGATCCTATAAAGTTGTAACACTTCAATGTTTTACAGAAAATGATTGGAGTGCTTACTAATTAGAAAGAGACTATGGATGAAGCAGAAAGCATACTAATGTAATAATGCCAAATTTCTCCTGCTTGACCCAGGAATCCATGAAGCCTACTCAAAACCTTATCAAATTTTGTTGTCCTCATTGTCAATGTAATGTGATAGTGTCACTTTGGAAAGCAATTTAAGGACAATATATCATATAAACCACTAATTCTGTTTATTAGACTGCTCTTGAAAAAATACTCTATATCACCTTGTACATGTAAGTCTAGAATACTTGTCCAAGCATTTCTGCTCCCAGTAGCAGGAATTTTCATATTAATTTTCTATTGCTGCTATAACCATTTACCACATATTATGGTGGCTAGAAACAACACAAGTTTAATTAATAGAGTTTCGTTAAAAGTCTGACAGGAATATAAATTGTGTGTGCTTATACTCAGCTCCTGAACTCAAGCTGGAAGAATTCTTCTTCAAACAAAAGTAAGAGACTCAATTAGGTATTTCTAGAAAAACTTTCTTCATTCTGGGTTCTTAACCTTAATTAGAACTGTGAAGTTCAAAAAAATCCATTTTTTTCATGTAAGCATATTTATAGGTTTGGGACATCTTAAGGGGACCATTCTTCTTCTTACTACAAGTGAAATAAGCAAATCAATGTGCTATTCTATGACAATTTAGAAAAACTGAATATATTTTCCAGAATACATTGTTTATTATTATCACCATCATCATCATTATCATCATTTTTTATTATTGTTATTATTGGTGGTAGTGGAATGTGTTTGTGTGATCAAAAAGGCCAGAAGAGGTCGTGGAATTGCCTTGAGTTAGAGGCAGGCAGTTGTAAGCTGCTCAACGTAGATACTGGGAAATAAACCTTGGTCCTTTTGGAAGACCAGCAAGTACTTTTAACCACAGAGCCATCCCTCCAGCCCTCTAAAATCCACTAACTGAGTTGGCTGAAGGAGAAGAAGCAAAGATCTGCATGGCATTTGGAAAAGGAAGCAAAGCAGCTTCTACCATTACCAGGAGGTTGATCATCATGGTTAACTAAGAGATAAAAGCTACAGAAGAACCCACGGCACGCCAACTCCTCCACACACGCTCTTCCACTTTGTGTCAAGTTTGTCTTCTCATTTGATGTTCAATGCTGTATCTAGGTCTACCATCAAATGTTTGTTTTGTCCCTCCTACATAGACCTCTACACAAGCTTTCTCTTTGTGGATTTACCTTGGCTACTGGACATGTAGTGACTTTCACTTCCTTTGAAGCTTTGATTTTCTACTCATGTTCCTGTCTCAAGATGCACCCACTTAGTCCTTGAACTCTCTTCAATAACTTCTCTCTTCCAGATACCCCTACTTTTATGTAAAGTCAATTACTATTAAAAAAATCTTTTGTGTTCATGATACACATAGTAACATACTTCCCTAAATGAACCCTTTATGGGTGTAGTCCATAAAATATACACAGAAAATTACATAGTAGCATATTCTCTACATTTATCATATCATCGGAGAGCCAGTAGAATATACAGGTAATAATTTCAGTTAATGAAATGCACACTTGCTGCCTTGAGACTGTTATAATTTTTTAGTCTTATGCAGAATAAAACTTCTTCACCTGTCTTTTGGTAATCCCTTGACACACACCATTGGATGATTAATGGTAGACTCTGTCCCTAGCTCCCATATCTCCACCTAAGGAGACAAATTCTCTGTCTGGCATGATATTCTTTACCCCCAAGAAGAAAGAAAGGAATGCACCTCAGTAGGTTTTATGCCAAGCTTTCTCTGGCAACACAGAGTAGTGTCACTGTTGTGTTTCTCATTCATTGAGTTCTCTCTAGTGTCTGACACTGTGCTAGAAACCATTCATTTGATCTTCACAGAAAAATCTAACAGAACACTGACCTGACTCTGTACTTTACATGTGTGACTGGTGCTTTAAGAGTTAAAGTAACTTCCTACAATCCACATGAAAGTTGGGATCTGGGCAGGAAGCCTAGTTCTTAAGGAACCTGATGCCTGCATCAAGCTACCATGGGATCCAAAGTTGAAAACAAAATGGAACAAATCAACAGCATCCACAAAACATATTTAAGAAAAGTATTGTATTTATGGCACCTGGCATTTCGTGTTTGGGCAACAATTAACCTTCCTATTCGGTTCAAACAATCCAGCTCCTACCATGGTGAACAAATTCATGAAAGGGTAAGACAGATCATGGAGATCATGGAGGGTCAAACACAGTAAAATGAGGGTCCCCGATTCTCAGCAGATGGAGCCTCAAGTTCTAGAGCCATGTGGATCTGAGTTTACATCAGAACTCCACAAATTAATAGGGAAGAAAAGAACTTTGATATCTCTGATAATCCTATTATGACAACTGTAAAATATGAACTAAACTGATTTAAAATATGAAATTCTATGATTTAAATATTTTATCATTACTTAGCAGGAAAAACAATGCTTTCCTGAATAATGTATCTACTTTCTATTTTGCACTTTCAATTCTCTATACTTCTACAACAAAAATGATTCTTGTAATTCAGCTCAACTTACCTTCCTAAAGAAGTTCAGATATGAAGCCAGGTATGGTAGTACACACCTGTAATCCCAGCACTCAGGAAGCAGAGGCAAGGGGTTCTCAAGTTCAAAGCTAGCCTTAGTCATGAAGGGAATACAAGGATAGCTTGAGCTACATAG